TATTTAGTTTGTGTCATGTCTGTCTATCTCTCAATCACACACACACACACACACGTTTACACACACACACACACACACACACACGCACACGCACAGACTTCCTGTCTTTCTTCATGCCATGTGTCTGGCTTTGTCTTTTCTGCATATAGTTGTTGCTCTTTTTCTCACACAGTCACACTAATGTTGCCTCGCTGTTTGTCAAACATACAGATAAATATAAACAGAAGATGTAAATGTTAATCATACTTCAGACTGGTTGCTTTTCTCCTCAGGCTTGTCTGCCAATCAGATTCATCATGAAGGAGCATTATGTCCCAAGCAGAAGCCTCATGTGAAGTGGTACATGTTCGAGCAGTCTCACCACTTTTCGGCTTTTGCTGATTTCCACCAAAAAAAACTGAGTAGCTCAAATTTTGAGTAGAACTGATGTAGAGTGCACTGCAATGTCTTTTTCTGCCATAAACGGGTCATTTGTGGCTCATAATGGGCATCTACTGCCCTTGGGTTGTTCTCGGCTCAAAAATGGTCCCTATGTGAATGGCAAACAAATATATGGGAATCCCAAGGACAACAGAAATGTAACAATACTTCAGTGGTGGTTAAAAGTTATGTTGCTGAGAAGAAGGGTTTTAGTAAATGACCACAAGAGGGTGAAAACAATCTCAAACTAAATGAAAACATTTAATAAAATCAGCAAGCTTTTCTCAGACCTTGATAGGCAACTGTTCAGGGTTACCCACAGCAATGCTGGCATATTTTTAACCTGTTCCTTTAGCTCCCTCTACTGAACAACACATGAAACCCAAATTAGTTGTTTTATGCCCCTGATAAAACACATTTGTCAGATGGTTCAATAAACGTTCTCTCTCTCTTTTTTTTAAAAAGAATTTTGTGGCAATTATTTCATAGTTCAGGCTTTAGGGGGCTAAATTTCTTCAGTTCAGTTTAATTCAATTTGAATCAAATCACCACCAATTCAATCACCACCAAATCACAACAACAGTTGCCTCAAGGGGCTGTATATTGTAAGGTAGACCCTACAATAGTACAACTGTGAAAACCCCCAACAATCAGGTG